TAAATTAACATATATGTAATATATGTAGAAAATGAAAGTACATCTAATGATATTTGACAGAGCCGCTGCACAGTGGCCCAACACTTACACATTCACAAAAGCAATCGCTGAAGTAGCTATTAGAGACAGTAGCGGAAGTTTGCCGGTCGGAATTTTTCGGCCATCCGTGGGTGAGTGGTCAATTATTTCAGGAAAATTATTAGCAGTTGATAGTTTTAATCCGCTTTTCGATCAATGTTGAAAGTATATTTATAGTTCTCCAACGTCAGTATTAAGAAGTCGGCAATGTGCAATTTATATTTTATTTCTTCATTTTATTTTTAAATATTTTATTTTTTCATTTTATTTCCAAATTCTTATATTATGTTGAAATTTTGTATTTTTCTCATCTTTAGTGACAAATACTGCCCGCGAACCGCTCGTGGGATGGATAGACAATTATCTTGCAGCAATGGGGGTGGTAGCGCCTTTCTCTAAAGGTTTAACAAGGTTTATTTTGTGCAATCCTGATTGCATGGCATATTTTGTACCTGTTGATATTACTATAAATGCTCTAATCGCAAGTGCGTGGGATGTTTTTAATCAACCGCACAGGTACGATCCACCGCGATTGAAACGCCACTTTTACAGATATGCAGTGTGGAAGTTCATACTGTTAAAAATCTAACTTTGAAGAAAAGTGCGTGTATAAATTCCTACGTATATCCGCGTAGAAATAAATTTCTCTTTATTTCTTAAAATTTCCGTGACGTAATACAATTTTTTTTCATTCCTAAAATCCTCGAGTCATTGTATGGATATTTGTTTATATACATCCTCAACGAATAGTTTTTATGTTTCATCCTAAACTCTCTCTAATTGTAGGAAAGGCGAAAAAATGTTAATTTATAATAGCGTATTCACGAAAGACGCCCCTTTGTCTTTTGGTGATTATTTTGCTCACGTACGACTAAATGCTCGAAAATATCCGACGAAACACTGCTATTGGATGCCAACTATTACGTTAATCAGCAATAAAATTATATACACAATATGCATTTGGTTCGGACACCTGTTACCCGCAATATTCATTGAAATTTTTCAAAAATGCATAGGTGCTCCGCAAAGGTATTTGAGGATAGCGTCAAATTTACCGAAATAACATTCATGTCAATATTATTTCAACTTTTTAGCATATGGAAATTGTATGGTAATATTCACAAATTCAATAACATGATCAGTTACTTTATGATGAACAACTGGACTCATACAAATGACAACATGCAGGCGCTCTGGCGACGCATGAATAAAAATGATCAGTTTTTATTCGACTTTAACATGAAAGGTTTCGATTGGTCGAAATATTTGGAAGATCATTTCAGAGGTATGCGTCTTTATCTGCTTAAGGATGATTTGAGCACTTTGGAAGTCAGTCGTATCAAATGGAAAAGGTAACGTATTTTCGATTTAATAATAACTTAAATGAATACAATAACATTAAATATCAATAACATTAAATATCAATAAAAGTAAGAATGCATTAAATTCCTCTTAAAATTCTCTGTAATATTGTGAAAAGGAACTAATATTAAAGAATCTAAGGCGATATTAAACTTTCATAAAAAAAAATTTTATTTTTTTGAGAATGCTAGCTTGCATATTACAAATGAATGTTCTCCTTACAACCTTTTTTCTAAACTGTCGGGGGCGCCTGATATATCGTGCGGACCGTTACAGAGAATACATTACATACACGTCATTCGTATATATTAATGATTATATACGGATATATATATATACAGTTTGTAGCTAAAGAGTCAATGAAAGTAGTAGTGTCTAAATAATTCGTTGGCCTCCCGATGTGCAAAAGTAATCTTAGAAAATATTTTGTCTCTTTGGGGTTCAAAGATGCCAATAATCTTTGATGTTACATCACCTGCAGCTCTTTTCATAGAACTTTGAACTTTTGCCACCTTTGTTAGTTCACCAATCTCAGAAAAATCAGGAAATTATAGCTTCTGGAAAGTAGCGTAAGAAAGTTAACCAAAACGCCAAAATTTTGGAGTCCAATGAATCTTATTAGACGTTTTGGATTAATTCTAACTGAAATGTTGAATCATTGACGATTGTTATAGAATAGATATGTGTTATGTAAAAAGGCATTTAATTACATAATGTTATATTTGCACTAAATAATATTATGAATTTCAGATTGTATTGGATACATCAAGTGACTAAGATCGTGCTTACATTCATCGTCTTCATGTTGGTCTGGAAGCTATTTACAGAAATATTTTTGTAATCTAGATTTTACAGAAATATTTACAGAGCTATTTACAGAAATATTTTTGTAATCTAGATTTATTTCATGCACAGTTATAATATTAATTGGACGCTATAAGCACGCATTATATAATTTTGGTGAGAGGTAATGTTAAAAAAATGGTTTTTATGTAAAAATATTAAATTTTATCATAACTTCATGTCATTTCAAGGAGGATAATGGTATACTTTAAGTTTCTTTTTGAAATGCAGAATCCGATATTTAAGCCAGCCAAATAAATTCATCTGTCTTATATGAAACTTGTGTCTATCATGTTTTTTTTTTATGTGCTTGTATACGTTTCTCCTATTATTTTTTATACATATCGAAATATAGCTCAAGGTCGTCCATGTTTGGTTGAAACTGGAAATTTAGAACAAAGATATATAATTTCGTTTGTCAGTTAGTTAGTTAATCAGATTAAGATTAAGATTTAATGTATGATACATACGCATATATACATAAAATCGTTTTTTATCTCATTGTATTTTCTACATTAATATGTACATTTTTCATCTATTATAAAAAAAGACCAAATTATAATAATATTTATATATTCTTTGCGGTACAGCAATACTATACAATAATATAAAATTAAAAGAATTAAGAATTATGACATATCTGATGGATCTGATGGATCATACATAGCATGCGATATTAACCAATAAGCTTATGAAGTATTTACATATACTACTGTTATTAACCAAATCACATTTTGCTTTTATTTTATTATTTTTATATATATTTTC